TATAAAGACTTGTATTCGCCCCAGATAAACCCATCAGATAATTAAATTAATGAATTCCTGGATAAAATAACACTTCCTAAACTATTAGATAGTCAAACAATGGAGCTGGATTCACCACTGACACCAGTGGAACTCCAGGAAGCCCTCAAAAGCATGTCCAATAAAAAAGCTCCAGGTCCAGATGGATTCCCAACAGAATTCTATAAAGAATTCTGGAATATCCTGGCTCCACTACTTCACAAAATGCTACAAGAAACTGAGAAAAATAACAGACTTCCAAAAAATATAAATTCTGCCAACATTAGTCTCCTGTTAAAACCAGGCAAAGACCCTGTATTACCTACCAGTTATCGTCCCATATCTCTTATCAATGTTGATCTTAACATAATTTGTAAAGCCCTATCAAAAAGATTAGAAAAGGTAACTCCTCTAATAATACATTCAGACCAAACTGGTTTTATAAAAGGGAGACATTCAGCCACAAATTCACGCAGATTATTTAATTTAATAGATTATTCTTACAGTAAAAATATTGAAACTGCAATATTCTCTCTAGATGCAGAAAAAGCCTTCGATAGAGTTAACTGGAAATTTTTATTTGCAGCCTTACATAAATTTGGTTTTGGAAATTATTTCATAAATTGGTTACAAATATTATACAGTTCTCCTTCAGCATGCATTAGGACAAATAATCAAATATCTGCTAGTTTTGCTCTGCAAAGGGGCACCAGGCAGGGATGTCCACTCTCCCCCTCACTGTTTGCTATTTTCATCGAACCACTAGCCGCAGCAATCAGGCAAACTACAGATATTAAAGGCATAAAATGCAAGAACAGAGAGCACAAAATCAGTCTATATGCTGATGATGTGCTGCGCTTCCTCCGGCATTCACAAACCTCCATCTCTCAGGTTATTGGATTGATAAACTCTTTCTCAAAAGTTTCAGATTACTCTATAAACTGGCTAAAATCCACAGTTCTACCAATTAATTGCTCTTTCAACAATTCACTTACTACACAACTGCAATCAGGGAATATTACATATTTGGGTATCAAAGTTTCGCCTAAATTAGCAGATTTAACAAAACTAAACCACACCCCACTTTTAAAGAAAATTGAGGATGATCTGGCTAGATGAAAATCTTTACCCATATCTCTCATGGGAAGGATCGCATCAATAAAAATGATGATTTTGCCTAGAATAAATTATTTATTCTCAATGATCCCAAATAAACCATCATCTGACTGGTTTAGATCCCTGGACTCCTCTATTTCTAAATTTCTGTGAAAAGATAAACGCCCTCGTATTAGATTAAAAACACTACAGAAATCCAAAGATAAAGGAGGACTAGAACTACCCAACTTTTATTATTATTTTCTAGCCAACAGGCTAGAATACATCTCAAAATGGATAAAACACACCCCTTGATGAACCCTGGCTAGACATAGAACAGACACTTTGCAATAATATAATGATCTCGGACCTTCCATTCATTAGCTCAAACATAAAACGACAGGAATGCTTTAAAAGCATCAATATCAGCTCCTCTCTGACAGCTTGGTGGGAGTTTCTTAAAATGACAGAGTCTTCACTAATACCATGTAAACCTACACCCATCTGGAACAACCCTGACATCCTACAACAGAATAAGATGATAAACTACCCAGGTTGGAGGTGTAAAGGAATTGAATATTTGGAACATATTGTAAGGGTCCCACTGCCTGCAGCCTGCCTTGCTGATGGCCGCTGATTACCAACACCTGGCGGCCATCAGCCTGATGAGCCTCTCCATCTACTTAAGGCTGCAGTCCGGTGTGACTCATCGCTGGAGCATATCACCTCTTATGGTATAGTACTGTTGTGAGGCAAATGTCGGTGAAAAGAATTTGTTCACCTTTGCTCTTTTTTCCAGTTTCCTGGTTCCTCGTGCTTTTTGGATTCCCTCGTGACCTGACCTGGGTCCCTCGGCCTGTCAGGCATCTCTCGTGCCTCTTTGCCTCCAGTTGCCAGCCTTCCTCGTTTCCCTTTGGACCCTTGTTGGATTTCCCTCTGCTGTTCGCTCTCCCTGGACTGAAGGACCAGCTCACCTCCTCGGGCTTTGGACTGTAAGGACAAACGCTCAGTAAACAAACCACTCTGGCCTTCCCCGTTGGACAACTATTAACCTGTCGTCCCTCTTTCCAGGAGCCTCTGAGAAGCAGCTTGTGGACACTTTAAATTCACTGTACATAATAAACACTGTTCTTTTGTATTTCCACTGTGTCTGTCTCGTTCTGGGTCTCATATCATCTGGGTTCCCCGCGCACTCCTAACAGAAATGCTCCAGCCAGAAAAGACCCAGAATGAGACCAAGAGCATGCAGACAACTCCCGGTTCCACGGAGGAACGGATCGACAGGTTGGACAAGATTCTATATCATGTGCTGACTCACCAAACTACGGTCCAGTCCAACTTTCAGGAGCTCGGGGGTATGATTAAATCCATTAAATATCAACTGCAAGCTTCTGCCTCCTCAGCTCCAGCCGCTCCGCCAGTCCCCGTGGCTCCTGATCCCACTCCTCCTGTCCAACAAATATTCGTTAAACCATCTGAGTTCTTCACCGGAGACCCTGACCAATGTGGCGGCTTCTTGCTCCAGTGCCGACTCGCCTTCGAGGGGGCTCCCTCCCAGTTCTCGTCGGACATGGCCAAAATCACCTTCTTCGTAAGCCAACTCAAAGGTAATGCTCTCCGGTGGGCTGACTCGTTCCTCTTGAGCCATGATAACCCCCCTGCTTCCTATGAACTTTTTCTTCGAGAGTTTCGCAGGATTTTTGACCATCCCCTGCAGGCATCAAATGCCACCAAGCGGTTGTTGAATTTACGACAGGGCCGTCGTAATGCCTCGGAGTTCGTGCTGGAGTTTCGGATCCTTGCTGCCCAAACAGGATAGGACGAGCCTGCCCTCCAAGGTATTTTCCTTAACGCTCTTGTAGTGAACTTAATCTGGGGTCAAGACTAAGCCTAAGGTCAAAACCCTTGACCTTAAGAACCTTGTGGGACAGAAACTGTCATTTCATTGACTTGAATCCAGAGATACAGGTTCACCCATCCTGAGACTCTCTTTCTTGATAATCAAGTGAAAGAACACTCTCTTTTTATTATCATTACTATTTTACAGATGTTGATAATCAAAGTGTCTTAGTTCAAACCATTTTAGATGTTGCAGTGAACTAATCAATTTTATTAACTGTGTAATGATTTTTAATTCTCATGCAAGTGTGCGTTCCAGGGTCAGGAAGAAGCAGACATGCGTTGGAACAACTGTCTTGTTTATATCCTCTCAGACGTCAACAGAGGGGGTTTTGGCACCTGTTTCTGAAACTCGCCAAAACAAAACTCTGTCTGTGAGAACATTTTTGATCTGTTCCATAACAATTCTTGCTGCATTCTAACCTTTTACGTCACAAAACACACCCCGTCTGGTCGGTTCTGGCCAATGGGAATACTCCCAGATGAACCGGGAAAAGGGCTCTTTAAAATGTCGGTACTTCCTGGTCTAACCAGTTCTGTGAGGGTTCTACTCGGTTCGGTTGAGTTCAGTTCTGTTCAGTTCTGTGCGGAGAAGCCCAGTTCTGGGAGCCGGGAAGATCCTGACATGACAACAGAGCTCTTCCGAGTTTCATGGGATTATAACATTTTCCACTGAGGTGAGCTGTGGGAAAACAGAATCTCGCCGCTACTCCGGACGAGTAACAGCATCCTACGGAGACGCTGAAGGGTGCGTTAAACGGAATCTCGCCTGAGACATCTCCAGGTAAAAGAGTCGATTTCACCACCTAAGTGTACTGTAAGGAAAAGCTGAAGAAAGCCCGGAGAGTGCCGTTCTGTCAACACTCCCTCAAACACCATCTTATTCCCTCTAAACTTCTTTCCCATCTTTAAACTCTTCTATCAAGTAGATATTCTTCCAGATATTTTAGAAATGTCTGTGTAAAGTGCTCATCCACATCCGTGTGGGTAAAAGATCATAATTGTACAGTTTTCATAAATGTCTGTGGTGACGCAACGGAAAAATCATGGCCGTATGATTTTTCCTGATTGATTGCTTATGTTGTTATTTTCATAATTTGCCAAATTAATGTAAATGTTTGATGTTAAACTTTGATTCTGTAAATAAATGACCGCATTCATTTTGATGGGTCAAATATAAATGACGTCTCACGTTTGCATTTCATTAAATTCAATGCACGTTTTATTCAGTTCAGAAAAATGAGGAATCCGTGTTAATTGATGAATATATCTGAGCATCTGTTCATCTACACTCTGTCTGATTTTCTCAAAGACCAGCTGGCCACGCGAGATGAACCCGAGACTTTCGACAAACTGATAGACCTTGCCATCTCAATCGATGACCGTTTCCGGGACAGAAGGAGAGAGGCAAACTACAATTCCCATCGACCCTCGACTTCCGGGCTTTCGACTTCTCCAGGTGAGCCCAAGCCTGCACCTCAACACTACGTATCCCATAATCCTTCCACTTCCGGGTTTACGACCCCTCGCTATGAGTCCGTTTCACCAAAACAATCCCCTGTGAACTACAACTCCCAGTCTTCCTTGCTTCCTGGTCACAGCCAATCATCTTCTTTTCCCTCACGTGATCGCTCCCCCGAGCCTATGCAGGTGGGGCGCGCACGGCTGACTCCTACAGAGAGACAGCGGCGTGTATCTGCCCGTCTCTGCATTTATTGTGGTAATCCCGGTCATTTTCTGTCCCACTGTCCGTTTCGGGGAAGACGAGAACTTCCACCAGTAAAGCGGGAGTTACTGGGGGGAACGTCTGCGTTAACCTCCCCATTCAAACTATTACTTCCCATGGTCATTCAGACACAGAACCGTCGTTTCCCGTGCTCGGCTCTCATCGATTCAGGTGCTGAACAAAACTTGATCAGCGCCGATTTAGTTAAAGAATATTCTCTACCCACTCGCGAGATTCCGTCAATTTCTGTCGCCGGCTTAACCGGAGACACTTTGTTCCGTATTAATCTAAAGACCACAGAGTTGCATGTCATTATCTCGGGAAATCATCATGAGATGACAGATTTCTTTATATTTAATTCTCGTACACCCCAAGTAATTTTAGGTTTCCCCTGGCTTCGTAACCACAACCCGGTTATTAACTGGGAGCGTGGCTGTGTTGATAAATGGAGCGACAAGTGCCTCAGCAACTGTCTGCGCTCCGCCGTTAAAGAGCTCCCTCGAGACACGCCTCCTCTAGAGGAGATCGACCTTACCTCGGTCCCTGCTGAATACCGCGACCTGGTGGCCGTATTCAGTAAACAACGCGCTTTGTCACTTCCTCCTCACCGTCCCTATGACTGCGCGATTGACTTATTACTTGGCGCCCCCTTGCCGTCAAGTAGACTCTACAACCTTTCTGGTCCCGAGAGAGAGTCTATGTCTGACTATATTAATGAATCTCTTGCCTCAGGCATTATTAGACCCTCGACATCCCCTGTGGGAGCCGGTTTTTTCTTTGTTTCCAAAAAAGATAAATCACTCCGGTCATGTATTGACTATCGCGGCTTAAATAATATAACCATTAAAAATAAATATCCTCTTCCTCTCATTGATTCTCTTCAGGAACAGTTACAGTCTGCTTCCTGATTTTCTAAACTCGATCTTCGAAACGCGTACCACCTCGTCCGTATTAAAGAGGGCGACGAGTGGAAGACAGTCTTTCGCACTCCTTTGGGCCATTTCGAGTACTTAGTTATGCCTTTTGGGTTAACCAATGCCCCCGCTGTTTTTCAGGCGCTCGTTAATGACGTCCTGCGCGACTTCATTGGTAATTTTGTTTTCGTTTATCTAGATGACATCCTTATTTATTCCCGCGACCCCGCTCAACACACGGCCCACGTTCGCACGGTTCTTCAGCGGCTGTTGGAGAACCAATTATTCGTTAAAGCAGAGAAGTGTGAGTTTAACACCTCCACTGTCTCATTTTTAGGTTTTATTTTTGAGGGAGGTTGTTGCCGAACCGACCCTGAGAAGACCAGGGCGGTAGTCGACTGGCCGACCCCCGAGTCCAGGAAGCAGTTACAACGCTTCCTGGGTTTTGC